ATTCCATCAATTCCTGGTGCCTTGTTCTTTGCCAATTCCTTCAATGCACTTTGGACTTCCTCTGTGAGTATCACTGGCTCTTGTTCATATGGTACCTCTTGAAATGGTTGAACATTAACCATTTCCTTTTGTGTATTCCTTCCATCTGTGTATTCCTTCCATCTTTTCTTGATGCATTCTGCATCATTCAATAATTTGCCCTTTCAATAATTGAATCTTTCAATAACGAAAGTCGAGGCTTGAATTTTTTCTTCAGTTCCCTCAGCTTGAGAAATGCTGACCATGTTCTCCCTTTTTGGTTTTCTAATTCTAAATCTTTGCATATTTTATTATAGTATTTGGTTTTATCTTTTCGAGCTGATCTTTGAAATTTTCTGTTTAGCTCTGGACCTCCTCATTTCTTCCATTTGCTTTAGCATCTCTACGCTGGAGACCGAGTTTCAGAGTCTCTTCTGACATCCATTTTGACCTTTTCCTTCTTTCTTGTTTTCTTAATGACTTTTTGCTCTCTTCACGTACGATGTTCTTGATGTCATCCCACAACTCTTCTGGTCTTCTTCGGTCTTCAGTGTTTACTGTATCAAATCTGTTCTTCAGACAATCTCTAAATTCAGGTGGGATAAATTCAAGGTCATATTTTGGTTCCCGTGGACTTGTTTTCATGTTCTTCAGCTCCAGTTTGAATGATACATATACATACACACTTATAATATATGCATATATTGTTGTTAAGTATCATGGAGTTGGTTCAGACTCATATAAATGCATATAAATTTGAACCAAAGTCCTCTTAAGACTCCATTCACTTAAAAGTTCTAGGATACAAAAGATTTGGAAAAGTGCTACGTGGAATTTACACATTTCTCTATTTACTTTAATCATTCCATGCAGATATTACTCATTTAACCGGATCCTAACACTAACCATACTGTTTTATGAAATTATTTTGAATATACTGTGAATCTGACACCCAGCTGAAATGTTGTTATTGTTACGTGCTGCTGAGTCAGTTCTGACTCCACAATCCTGTATAGGGTTTGCAAGGAGCTGCTGTGAGTCTCAACTGTTGAGTGTGCAGTTCACACCAACCTTGAGGTCCAATGCTTATCCTACACCAGGACTCCTTCCAGCTGAAATGTACAAGAATTCAATGGGCTGACCTCAATTTAATAAAATTCATACCATAAGCAAAGATAGCCTAATAGGAAATGGAGAAGAATTCAATTATCAAAAAGGAAAGGGTATAGGTATAATTTCCTCTTTTTACTATCTACAAGGAGTCCTGGTATAGGATTAAGCACTGGACCACTTAAACTCACCAGCCACTCTCAGGAAATCCTATACTGGGTCACTATGAAGTCAGAACCAACTCCAGAGTACTTAAAAACAACATTATCTAAAAGGGCTCCAGCTTTAAGATGCTATCTCCTTTAAGCTAACCATAGTTCGAAGAGCAGGAGCTAAAATTGAATACTCCCTATATGCCAAGCATAGCTCACTTCGTCCTCTTAACAGCTCTGTGAGGTTATCCAGAGTCCCTGGTCTTAATCTTCACATAACTATGCTGTGGTTAGTTATAATGGGAAAAAAAGAATGACTAAGTATATTAAGATAAATGACTACGCATTTCTTCTGAAAAATGTTCACTGGTTTTGCTACAAAATGATTTCTATTAAGAAACATTTTTAAAAAGTTAAAGTGAGCACTGGCTGTTCTTTTTATAAAGCATATTGGAAGACACTCTACTTACCTCTCTGAATTTCTGAAGGTATAATTTCAGAGGTTCTACGTAACTGTCAAAGCCCAAAGTCGACATGGCAAACAGAATGTCCTCCCCGTTGATTGTCTTCCGCTTCTCTTGATGGCACCTTTCACTGGCCTCCGACGTTATAAAGCTGATGAATTCACTGACACATTCCTGAACACATTCTTTGGCATCTTTTGCAATCTGAAGAGAAAAACCTTAGGTGACTAATCTGCAGGGAACAGCAAAATCACCTTCCTGCTACTGCTGGTGGTGGCCCACTGAGTAGGTTCCAACTCCAGTAACCCTGGATAGGGGTTCTGAGACTAAATATTTATAGGAGCAGAAAGCCTCATCTTTCTCCCAAGGAGCAACTGGTAGATTCAAACTACTGACCTTTCAACAGCCCAGCTCATAATCCCACTACACTACCTGGTGTGGCGCTGTGGGTTAATGCGTCAGACTGCAAAGCCATTTGAACTGCAAGGTCGGCGGTTTAAGCTCACCAGCTGTTCCTCTGAAACCCTCTACAGGGTCACTATGGATCGGAATCAACTTGACAGCACTTCACAATAACCCCAAGGCTCCTATCACCTTCGTAATCAACCACCTTCAAAAATAAAAGGCTGCTCAGAAGATATCATCATATCCTATGATGATACGAATCTTTCTTCTCGGAAAGGTGTTAATAATAGTAACACAACACTGACTATTAAAATGCCTACCTACCTTTATAATCCTTAAACCTTAGCCCCAAAATAACCCCTGGGGTCTTATTAAAATCAAACAATAGTTTAACTTAATTATTAAAGAATGCCTGCCTTCAGTGCTAAAGGCTTTTAAGAACAACCTCTGGTGGTGGTGGTGTGCCGTGTAGTTGGTTCCAACTTACAGCAACCCTGTATAGAGAGAGTGTCTATGTACATCTTTACAGGAGCAAAAAAACCTCATCTTTCTCCAGAGGAACAGCTGGTAGTTTCAACTGCTGACCTTGAGGAGGTTAGCAGCCTCACTCGTAATCACTACACTACCAGAGGATCAAACGGACAACAGCCACTCGAAAGGTCAGATAGGAAGGAAACAGTTCAGAAAAGGCGGAGGAGAAGAGATGTACAACTTGAAGACTGTCATCAATATCACTCCATTGTCCATGTAAAAATGGTTGAACTGGTGTATGCCCTGCTGGGTGTAGTCAACAACAAAAATGGCAACCCTCAAGTCAGAATACACGTGACAGCTGTTCACAGATGGCAGATTGGAAAGCAGTGGAGCAAGCATAAAGTCACTGCCGCTGGCCATCCCTACTCTCCAGTGCCCAAGGGACATTGGTTCCATGGTGCACATATGCAGTGCTGTACCCCTGCACCTCCGTGAGGAAGCACACTGGAGTGGAGGGACGACTGAAATTATGGCATGTCGTGACTTGTCCAAGTGACGATGCAAAGTATCAGATATAAATTCTGAGCTTCTTTAAAAGCCACCTCATGATACAAATAAGTCTCTCTTAACAGGCTGACATCTGAAAGTGAAGCTTCAGAAGATACACCCAGGCAATTTCCCAGTCACTTCCCTTAGGAGTGACCCTAAATCCAGTGCTGCAACACACTCCCACCCTCCATGCCTGCGTTATGGACTGGAGCAAAGTAAAAAGGAATGGCAACAATGCAGTCAAGCAAGATAACAATGGGAGCCACACACATAATTCAATCACATAATAAAAAAACAAACAGGTAAAAGTCCATTTTCTTTTAAAATTTCCCACCCCTCCCCAAGTAAAGTTAATTTCTATATTTGGTTTAACCCAATATATCCAAAGTAGTATAACTTCAACGTAGAATCATTATTTTTAAATGGAGATATTTTACTATTACGCCTTCAATCCTGCTGTGTAGTTTAGGTTTGTTTGTTGTTGCGGGGTACCACTGATTCAGTTCCAGCTCACAATGAACCTGTGTACATACAACCCAACAAAACCCTGTCAATCTGGCCTAGCCACATTTCAAGTGCTCAGTCATCACATGGGGTTAGTGTCGTCCCACAAAATTACTTTCATACTACCCAAATTTAAAGGCATGTTAATACCTAAAATTATGTGGAAATAATTGTTTCCAAATACAAAAGACAAAAAAAATCCTCGCTATGCCTGTATCAGCCCAATCTGACCCAATTTTGCTGCAACATTATAATAATTACAATCTTCCTATGTCCAAACCTGACAGTTCTGACAATGCAAGGATTCTAGTTACTTCTCTGCTCCCAATAAACTAGGGGTGAGGGAGCATCTGGGGACATGACAGAACTAAAAACACACCCCAGTTCAGAAAGTAAGGATGTAGAAGTGAAAACAAGATTTACTGAAAGGCTGAATGACTAAAATCAATAGCTGATTGTGTCCATAAAGCAGATACCGGCTGGCTTGATGGTCCTTCCTCCTCAGCCCAGGTACCCAAGGTCCTCAGCTATACTATTTATTACCTTTCCCGTTTGAGGGATGGCGTTTTTCATTATCCTTGCCACATTTGCAATTGGAAGATATATATCTTGTTCTCTGAAGCTTTCTTTTGAACCATTTGTGTCTTCATGGTCATTCATGCTGTCCTCAGTGTCTAAAGAAAAATAGTTTCAGTTTAAAATTTACCATATTTACCTCATAAAATTTTTACTTCAAGATTTAGAAGACCACCTGAACCGATCTAGAGTAAGAACCATTCTCATTCATTTCCTGATTCCTTTGTGAGTTAGCAAGCATAGCAGTTCTTTTTATAATTTTGTCAGGGTCCCAACTGAGTCTATTCGCTGTAACACACCCACTTCCCAAAACCCCTTTATCCTCAACTTTGCCGACTACAGTTCTACTTGTCCATATTTGGAGAAGCTCAAAAAGCATCTTCATAGCACCATCAGGAGTGATCCCTCCTTCCACAAAGCCCCCCCAATGCTCCTCAGTGTCCTTGCTCTGACACCTTTAACCACCCTGCTCTGAGCTGCTCTATTAGCTTGTTCTTGATGCCTGGGGTCAGCTTGTGTCCTTAGCAACTGGTACAGTTCCTTACATAGAGGAGGTACTCAGAAACAATTGTTGCATGCTATACAATTCACAAACCACAACCTAAAATGCCCTGAGTACTACTAGATTTATATTTATTCAGAATGAAAAACAGGCCTTGGCTATTACTGATCCAACGGGTTATTAATACAGTAACTTGTTTTTGTTGGTTTGATTGTGGTGAACACCAATCTTGCAGTTCGAACCAAGTTTGCAGTCTAGCACATTAACCCATAGTGCCACACCAGGACTCCATATATATGGATATGTGTGTGTGTGTATATATATATTATATATATATATAGTATATATGTAGATAGATAGATTCTATATATATAGATATATATGTATGTGTATATATATATATATACATATATAGAATCTATATATATAGATTATATATATAAATAATCCTGTATAGGGTTCCCAAGGAAACCTATTTTTTCCTCCAACACCACAATGCATCAATTCTTCTACAATCTGCCCTATTCAACGACCAACTTTCACATGCCTAAGAGGCTACTGAAAATACCATGGCTTGCGTCAGGTACATGTTGGTCCTCAAACTGACATCTTTGCTCTTAACACTTTAAAAAGGTCATGCGCAGCAGACTTGCCTAATGCATGCGGTGCCCATGAGTGCTGATAATGGATATAAGCAAAATGAAGTCTTTGACAACTATGATCTTTTCTCCATTTATCACAATGTTTATTTATTGATCTAGTGATGAGGATTTTTGTTTTATTTACACTGAGGTTCAATCCATACTGAAGGCTTCATCAGTAAGTATGTGAAGTCCTCTTTGCTTTCAGCAAACAAGGTTACATCATCTGCATATTGCAGGTTGTTAATGAGCCTTCCTCCAATTCTGATGCCATTCATGTTTTTCTTCACATAATCTAGCTTCTCAGATTATTTGCTGCTCAGCATGCACATTGAAAAATAAGTATGGTGAAAAAATACACTCCTGTTGCACCCTTTCCTGATTTTAAACCATTCAGTGTCCCCCTGTTCTATACAAATGACTGCCTCTTGGTCTGTGTACATGGTCCTCATGAGCAACATTAAGTCTTCTGGAATACCCATTCTTTGCAATGTTTTCCACAGCTTGATCCACACAGTCTAAAGGCTTGCATAGTCAATAAAACACAGGTAAACATCTTTCTGGTATTCTCTGCTTTCAGGCAAGATCCATCTGATGTCAGAAATTATACCCTTCATAATTGTCTTTGTCTGAATCCAGCTTGAACTTCTGAACAACTGTACTGTTGCAGCCATTTTTGAATTATCTTTAGCAAAATTTTATTTGAATATGATATTGTCTGATAATTTCCACATTCTATTGAGTCACCTCTCTTTGGAATGGCAACAAATATGGATCTCTTCCAATTAGTTGGTCAAGTATCTGTCTTCCAAATTTTTTGGCACACGAGTGAATGCCTCCAGTGCTGTATCAGTTTGATGAGATTTCAATTTGTATTCGTCAATTCCTGGAATCTTGTTTTTTGCCAATGCCTTCAGTGTACCACAGACTTCATTCCTCAGTACCGCTGGATCTTGATCTTATAATATTTCTTTTTGGTGTAACAACTGTGGTAACCTTTCCATCTTGTTTTGATGCTTTCTGCATCATTCAAAGTTGTTGTTGTTAAGTGTTGCTGAATTGGTTTAGACTGGTGACCTTGTGGTTGAATTCATATTGATCTTGTGGTCCAGTGCTTATACTATAGCACTACTACACCAAGACTCCATAGAATTCTTCCATATTACAGGTTGAGGCTTGATTTTTTTTATTTCTTCCATCTGCTTTAGCATCTCTACACTGGAGAACAACTATCAGAGTCTCTTCTGACATTCAAGTTAGTCTTTTCCTTCTTTGTCTTCTTAATGATCCTTTGCTTTCTTGATGTTATCCCACAACTCTTCTTATCTTCAGTCGTTAGTGTCTAATGCATCAAATCTGTTCTTGAGCTAGCTCTAAAATTCACATGGAACATGTTCAAGTTCATATTTTGGCTCTTGTGGACTTGTTTTAATTTTCTTCAGCCTGAACTTGCATATGAGCAATTTGATGGTCTGTTCTACAGTCTGCCCCTGGCCTTGTTTTAGCTGTTGCCACTGGGCTTTTCACCATCTCTTCCCACAAATATTTTATTTCTGTGTATTCCATCTGGTGAGATCCACACATATAGTCGTCTTTTATGTTATTTTTTAAAAATACTTGCAACCTGGTCTTGCAAAATTTTATTATGTGATCTCCAGTGCTTTTTTGTATCATCAAGGCCATTATTTTCTATCCATTGATCTTTCTTGTTTCCAACCTTTGCATCCCAATTACCAATAATTATCAATACCCTGTGCAGGGTCGCTATGGGTTGGAACCAACTCCACAGCACATAACAAACAACATCAATACATCATGATGGCATGTTCAATCAAATTCAGACAGAAGAAGTTGGTAGAATTCAATTTCATGATCACTGGCTTTAGTGGATAGTATGTAAATATGAGTAATAGGGTACTAACTGGTCTTCCTTGTAGGTGTATGGGTATCATCCCATCACAGACAACACTATACTTCAAGACAGATCTTGAAATGTTCTTTCTAATGATAAATGTGATGCCATTCCTCTTCAATTTGTCATTCTCGCAAAGTAAACCATGACTGTCAGATTCAAAATGGCCAATACCAGTCCACTTCAGCTCACTAATGCCTAGGAGATCAATCTTTATGTGTTCCATTTCATTTTTTTTTTTTTAATGTTTTATTGTGAATTGTGTGATAGTCTACATGGGAGAACATTAGCTTTACATTCATTCCATCATCTATCTTTTCATTGGCATAGTTACCATCCCATCCATGCATCCTCACCCAATCAAAGGGTGTACCCTATAAGCCTGCACCTCCCCCCACCACAGTCCTCAGCTCCTTTCCATCTCCTGATCCCGAGTCCCCAGCCACACCATCTCTTGATGTCGTCTTCTCTGCTCCATTTCATTTTTGACAACTTTCAATTTTCCTAGATTCCGTGTACTTTCAATATTCCGATTACTAATGGCTGTTTATAGCTGTTTCTTCTTATTCTGAGTTGTGCTCCATCAGCCAAGTGAAGGCCTTGAAAGCTTTATTCCATTCATGTCATCACGGTCAACTCTTTTTAAGGAGACAGCTCTTTGGCAAGCACTGTATCTACAATATTCTGGTGATATTCATAATGTTTCAATATTCAACATTCTGGTGCTATCTGACAGCGTTCCACTGCAATTCGTAAGGTTTTCAGTGGCTAAACATTTAGAAGTAACATGTCTCGCCTTCTTTCTAGTTTGTCTTAGTCTGGAAGCTCTACTGAAACCTGTCTACCGTGGGTGACCATGCTGGTATTTAAACTACTGGTGGAATAGCTTTGAGAATTACAGCAACTCACAAGCCACCACACTATGACAAACTGACAGAAAAGTGGTGGTTTTTCCTTATGGGGCAGTTTAATACTGCCATTTCAAAACCTAGGATAAATTCATAGTGAATAATTTTTTAAAAATCAGTTTGTATGTAAGTTGTTTTTATTGTTAAGTGCTGTGGAGTTGGTTTCAACTCCTAACGACCCTGTATAGGGTTTTAATCTTTTTGTGGGCACAGAAAGCCTCATCTTTCTTCCATGGACCAGCTGGTGGGCTTCAGCCAACAACCCTGTGGTTCGAAGTTCAGTGCTTATCCTGTAAGTACTAGGAATATAACAACTCACCCTTTAAAAACAAACAAACAAACAAAAAACACTATCATGTAAACTGACTAAGAACTTGTCATGTTTAATATTAAATAAGAAATCAACAATATATTTTAAAAGAAACTGCAGAGGTAAAACTAAGGTAAACTTTTATTGTAGAAAAATCCTTTTTCTGGCACTCAACAGTCTGTTAAACACTACTCTTAATAATAAAAACAAAACAAAACCCAGCATGGCACATCTTTTTAGATTTTCACTGAGCTGTGATCCAAGATTGCTAATTTTCTTGGAATGAACAAAGTAACCCAGCGCATTCTCTTCATAAACTGTCCACTCTCTAAGTGGCTTTGACCTAGGCATTGCTTTCTGTCTTTGGCTTTCTTACCATCGTGAGGCTGGATAACATAATGGCTTCCTCCAATATAGTCTGCAGAGATTCCTAGTTGAGAAGCATCTGTTGTGGAATTGTCACCATCCATCTGTGAGAGAAAAGATGTTTTCAGTCGGCTTCCAGAAAGGTTGCATGACAATCATTGTAGATTTAATATTCAAAAACTGCCTGAGGATGGTCCTGTTAAAATGTGGATAGCCTTAAATTTATTCAAAGAAAACATTTCTCCATTTGGAAACCTTTCAACCTTTTCCAACTATTTAAGATTTTCTTACCTTCAAAAGTGGTAATACCAATATGAAATCAAAACAAGAAACTGAGTCAAAAACACACACTTGTTTTTTCTTAATTACATAATTCTCAAATACGAGCATGACTATAGTACAGGCAACCCTGCCTGGCATTATAACGTACCCCTGGAATGACAACCAAAGCCAAAATCAGTAGTCAGTCAAGTGGAAGTCATCTGTATCCATCACTTCCCAGCTCGCTTGCTTAAGTTGTTCCAAACAAAGGATATGGACTCCCTACACAATTCGGTACCCATGTAGTCTCTATTTTTAACCAGCATCTCACCCTTGACACTAGTCAAAGATTAGTTTTTGCTGCCTCCCTGCCTTTTTGATTCTTTAAAAAGAAAACCGGGAGACTAGAAATCATGGTAGAAAGGAATATGATAGGCAGAGAGAGGTTCAAATGCCCACTTTCAAAGCCTGCTTAGTGAATTCTGCTTGGAGCTAAAAGGCCTCCAGTAAGGAAAATATGGGAGGAGGGGCGAGACGCTGAGCCACAAGTCCTGAATTGGCTCTCTCCCATCTCCCCAACGTGGCGAACTGTAGACAGCATCAGGCACTTACTTTGTGCTTTACAAAGAATACCCCAAAAAATAAGGGGCTGTGAGTGAGGGGAGGAAAACAACAAAAATGCAGTAGCTGAATTAAAAGTAGCAGTATGTCTGCAAAACCCGAGAAAGAAAGAATGAAGTCTGATCGGTACATGAAGTCTGATCACAGGCCAAATGAAGAGGAGAAATGTGAATGTGTGTCTGTGCCCAAGACCCAGCACAAACTGAATGCTGCTAACTACAGTATTGTACTGCTTGTGGGACACACGGCTCCCTTTCCATCTCTAATATGAAAATACCAGGCTAATTTCCAAGTCTTTAATAATGTGGCGTTCCTTTCAAGCATCTGTTAACTGTGGTATCTAAGTGTAGATACAGATATAGTTCCATGATTTAAACAAGTTGTTTTAAGATGGGGACAGAATAGAATCCACATAACTTTAATGATTTATGAACATACAGGATACTTCTGAGGGGGCTTCAAAAAGTTGTGAGGGGAAAAAAATCCCATTATTTTTTCATTCCGTTTTCCCACAAAACTTTTTGAATCCCCCTCTTATTTACGGATACTTTGAAGTGGCCTCCAAGAGGTAAACCACAAAGTCAGGAGTAAAATGTGACTCTCCTACTGATCCCTGAACACAGCACCCCTACTAGCTGAATCTATTTCACTTACTGTCTTCCCCATCTTAAACAACTAATATAAAACAGAAATGTTGTTGTTGTTGTTAGGTGCCATCAAGCAGGTTCCAGATCACAGCAACCTTACGACCAATAGAAGGAAACTCTACCAGGTCCTGTGCTACCCTCACAGTTGTTCTTAAGCTTGAGTTCACACTGCTGCTATCACTGTGCCAAGCTATCTCATTGGGGGGAGGGGGAGGTCTTCCTCTTTTTCGCTGACCCTCTACTTTACCAACTATGATGTTCTTCTCCAGGTCCCTCCTAATAATATGTCAAAGTATGAGACCAAGTCTGATCATCCTGGCTTCTAAGGAGCACTCTGGTTGCACTTCTTCCAACATAGATTGATTTGTTGTTTTCAATATTCTCCTCCAACACCATAACTCAAAAGCATCAGTTCTTCTACGGTCTTCCTTATTCACTGTCCAGCTTTCACATGCATATGAGGTTATTGAAAATACCATGGCTTGGGTCAGGCGCACCTTAGTC